TGATGAATCGGTGATGTAGGATGAAAGATACTATAACCTTGGCTGTCAATGTGGAGATGTAGTCATCTACCAGAGTATAGATGGCGACCACGGACTATTCTAGACAACCCCGTGGAAACACCAGCAGACTTATAACCTGTAGGTGATGAATTACGAGTTCAGGCGATGTTGTGACTGCGTATTCATGTGATGATACTCTAACCCTTACTATGAATACGAGTCCAGGCGACGTTGTAACTACGTATTCATGCCTTAGGAACGAGCATATAAGGAAATGTGAGGTAAAAAGATGAGAGGTAAAAATGATATAGGAGATGACCCTTAAGATAATTCTTTAAGGAATATTAAAGAAGATAACGGGGATGAGTAATTGGGTTGATTGTTTGATTGTTTAAACATAATAATTATATTATTGTGGATTGAAAACCCTATGTACTCACCAGGTTTCCCAACCTGACCCACTCAAGCTTATTTGTATCACAGGTGTCGATATGAAGCTACTTTAAACTGAGAGATTTAAAAGAGATGTAGATCACTAGTGTAAATGAATGTAAGTTCTGTTTATGCTTATGTTTCTGTATTGACGTTGACATCCTAATGTTTTGAAAATGAATGAAATACATTTCTTCGGAAATGATTTGATAACGTATTTATCATGTTTTTCTGGGAACAAATTCCGCAACATTTTTATTAAAAGAGGTACTCTGATTTTTATAAAGCATAAACAAAATCGGTCTTTTCTGGCCGTGAAAACGGGGATGTCACAGCGATTGTGGATCGTAAGATCAAGGTTCTGAGGAACAAGGAGGTGTCCCTGGTTCAGGTCCAGTGGCAACATCGGAGAGGGTCCGAGCTGACTTGGAAGCCGAAGCTGGAGATGCGGGAGCGACATCCAGAGTTATTTGCAGAGCGAGACTTCGAGGACGAAGTCTGATTCTAGTGGGGGGGAATTGTAACATCCAGATTCCCAGGTATTCTATGTTATTCATTTATTTTGAGTTTGAGAGAAGGACTCGACGAGTCGACGCCTAGACTCGTCGAGTAGGATCGCGATTTGCTGATTGTATTAATGAATGGACTCGACGAGTCGGCAGGGTGACTCGACGAGTCCGTGCTGGCGGCAGAAACCCTAAATCTTTGGGCATGTACTCTATTTAAGGGTCCTTATAGCCCTCATTTGCGGCTACCAGTCCAGAAAGAGAAACCCTAGAGAGCTTGGGCGAGTTGTGTGTGAGAGCAAGCCATTTTAATCCTTTTTGGTGTTGTTTTGCAAACAAGAAGGTGTTTCCAGCTAGAGGAGGTCAAGATTGCTAATCCGTGGTTTTCAAGCTTGGATCTGCAGTATTGAGGTAGAAAATCGAACTCTCCTTCTGTTTTGGTTAAGATCTATGAATCTAGGGTTTTCTATACCCTTTTTATGGCTTGAATTGATGAGTTTATGGTCCCTTTATGTGTTAGACTTCAGATCTGGACCCATAGAGGTCCAGAGAGCATTATCCATCTTGCTTTATGAAGTGTTATGGAAGGAATGAACTTAGGTTGCCATTTTTGAGGCTATTTCTTCAAAAGGAACCATATATGTGTTGCATGAGTGTAAAATTTTCACCTTTACGTGATTAGTGGGTATGGAAAGGTCAGATCTATAGGTTAGAGAAGCAGATATGACCTCAGAAGGTCATTTGAGTGTTGCCATGGACGCTACTCGCCGAGTTCATAAGTGGACTCGACGAGTCGAGTCGGAGTTGCCCCGCGATTCGTGACAGGAGTAACCTGTCGAGTGAAGGGATGACTCGACGTGCCAAGTGAGGCTAGAAGGATTCAGAGGACCCGCATGGACTCGTCGAGTCGCCCATGTGCACTCGATGAGTCGGGTTAAAGTTTGACTGTTGACTTCAGTTGACCTTAGGGTTTTGGTCAAGCTGATTCAGGAGAGTTCAGGGAGGGGTAGAATGGCCTTCTACCCAATCTTTAGAGATGAGACTATGAGAGGGTATTGATCAGGAATGTTATTCGGATGATAGGAGGAGGCTAGGTCGGGACGTCAAGCACGAGAGTTTATCCGACTTCGTACGAGGTGAGTCTTCTCACTATACTGTACCTAGGATGGTACTTATGTGTGACTGGAAGGTCTTATATGCTATGAGATGTATGTGTTGTATGCTGTTATATGATATGTATGTGTTATGTATGTTATGAATGAGAAGGACCGGAAGGTCATTATGATGTGGACCGGAAGGTCATGATGATATGGACCGGAAGGTCATTACGGGTAGGACCGGAAGGTCTACCAGGGTTGTGGGACGGAAGTCCTCTGAGACACAGTGACCGGAAGGTCTTATAGCCTTGAGTGGCGTATGTGCGTATGTGGTATTTTGGGGAACTCACTAAGCATTTATGCTTACAGTTGTTGTGTTATGTGTTTCAGGTACTAGCGAGGATCGCGGGAAGGCGCCGGCATGATCCGTACACACTCATGGAGTTTATGTCTTGAGATTCTGGGATATGTTTTGTTATGATAACATTGGATACATTATGTTTTGATATTACCTTATGAATAAAAGTATGTTTTAAAAATGAAAAATTGTTTTGGAAATTTACGTTGTTACACTTGGAAACGGGGTGTTACAACTCTCCCCCACTTAAATTAGATTTCGTCCTCAAAATCATTCCTTACCCTCCTTTACATGCTAAACCACTCAAGTAACATGGCCACAACCCCGTGCACACCCTAGCCTTCCCAGGGTAACCATAACCAACCCTCGTAGGGTTCTAAAACCCGAAGATGAACGAATTCCTTGCAACATGATCATGTTTACTCCGTCTGAGATTTGTAGTCTCGAGAGTCGAGATGGTATGACTCCCTGACAGACCGCCCATACTGAATCATTATCATTGAATCCAATCCACTTGTCTCTTAACTGACTACTCAACTTCTGATAACTCTAGGTTCTCACTAGAAAACAGAGTCACAGGCCTAATTATCCTTGCAACTCACTTATACTTGGCCAAGGCTCAGATAATCCCGTTGTGAGTGGCTTAGTATAACCCAAGCAATCTGTTACCCATCCATACCTGAAATTCTAAAACACTAATACTAATACTGCCAAAACACTAAAACTGCCCGAAACAGCATGCTGCCACATGGCTGCTTTCCAAAATCTACCGAGACCTCCCTGGTCTCAATTCGCTCACCAGCCATCTGAAATAACAGGTTTCAGCTCGATTACGGAGCCAAATGACTCCCACGCAGCCGCTCTACACGAATTCCGAACGAAATCCTTGTCTGTCAATAGTTTCCACTAGTTATCATGCCACTGTGGCTCTAGCGACCTTCTGATCTAACAGATCGGGTCCATAGGTCGACACCTGACGTCACCAAATCCAAGGCTAAAAGTGATTGCTACATGACCAATGGTAGCCTTATATCACAAACGACCTTAAGCAGTCCATTATTTCCTTGATCTCGTAAATGTAGTGGCATTCCTACAATCTTATCACTGACTAAACCAGGTCTAATCCCTCTGGGGAAATCCATAAACCAATCTGTGGTTTTGCCACGCCCTTACTGCTGCACCCGAACTGATGGGTACTACTGTTCCCTCCACGATCCAACACACTCCCATGCTATCTACTAACCTAGTGAATGCTACAGCTACACCCGCAAACTTACAACACTCTAGCACAATCTGCCAACCTTGTGAATGCTACGACTACACCCGCAGACTTACAACACTTCTAGCACTATCTGCTAACCTTGTGAATGCTACGGCTACACCTGCAGACTTACAACACTTCACACATTATCTGGCTGCTAGTGAATGCTACGGTTACACCCGCAGCCTTACAACACTTTCCACACTATCTCAATCGCGGATTACTAATCCGAACACATCCTACATCGAGCACACGCACACGATCTAACATCCAACTGAACTTGAGTCCTAACTGGAGCTCTAACCTGGTTCCCGAAACCTGTTATCTGATGCCAAGGAAAAGCATGAACCAAATATTAGAACGTTTTCTAAACTCTCAACTCACCCAATCCTCAACCTAGACGACCACTCGACCGCCTTCCTCCTTGGCGTGGATGCAAAACTCATCCTAGTTTTACACCTATTACTGCTCCTAAATACCTGATTGATTCTCCCCCGCTTAGATTCGACCAGTCCAGAAATTATCCTTTTAACCCCCACGATCTCAATTATGACATATTCAGCCCTTCCTTCTCTTTTTCTTTCAAATTTACCTAAATAGTCCCTCCTCTAGGAAATAATTTCAATATAAGTCCAAAAACTACAAAACGAGCCCAATTGATTATCCTTTAGCCATATGTTCAAATATTATTTCCACTACGAATCCCGAAGGCACCCTTTAGACCTCCAAAACCAATTATAATGTCAGTTACACACTTTTCACTAAACTCTTATTTGAATATATTCATATATCGGAATAAAATAATACTTAAAACACATCTTCAAATTTTAAGATTTGACTTGGAAACAGGGTGTTACAGGTGGGGTTGATAAGTGGGCCCAATTTTATATTTAATAAAAATAATAATTTTAAAAAGTGAAAGAAAAATGAAAACTAAATTTATTAAGGGTATAATAGTCTTTTTAGTTTAGACAGAGACCAAAATTGTAAGTAAACTAGCTCAAATAACCACCAATAAAAAAAAATCGAGGTTTGGACTAAACCTCGGAAAAAATGCATACCATAGGGACCATTTTTGCAATTTTATATATATATATATATATATATATATATATATATATATATATATATATATATATATATATATATATATATATATATATATATATATATATATATATATATATATAACAAAAACTTTTAGCATTGAAAGAAATTAAAAAAAAAATTTGATCAAGTAAAGTCAATTAAAACCCAAAGGGTAAAAAGGTGAAAATACTTTACATTTTTTATGCTCTAGACTTACTTTCTAGAGCGATTATTACTATTGTACTTGACATTTTACAGAGTTACGGGCCCTGCCAAAATGACTTTTCTTCTCCGGACAATCACTCACACTTGACACTCTTACCAAAGAAATCCCATCAAATTCTCATTTTTTTCACTACTTGATTCCCAAATTCCGCCATGGATGATGACAGTGATCGGAGCTCCGAAGCAACACAACTGGAAGAAAATACAACAGCGGAAGATATGATGCACCACGATCACGACGACGATGATGATCAGAGTGACGCTACTCCATTACAGTATTCTCCTATGTCACCCGAGGAAGATTCAGCTACTTCTCAATCTCTAACCCTAGCAGTATCTGGTACGTAAGTTCGATTTTCTGTAAACTTAACCGATTATGATGTTGTTGTTGTTGTTGTTGAAGTATGCGTATGTGTTTAGATTTGTCAGAGGTGCCGATAAAATACGAGATGCAACGCGATGAGTTGGAGCGTTTGAAGGTATACCACTACCGAGCTTCAATTTTGTGCATTTTACATTATCCATTAAGTAATCGGAAGCTTCAATTTGATTATGATACTGGAATTAACTGAAATTAAGAAGAATCGCAGTTACATTACATACATAATGTTTTCTATTTGATTTTGTCACTCAGAATCAACTTCAAGGAAGTCACCAAGAAGCCCTAGCAACTGTTATAGCTCAAGCTGCTCGTGCTCGTTCCAAGATTCAGATTTCAAATTCACAAGGGCAAATTCAGTTGAATAATGCTGATGTGGCAGAAGTGAAGCAGAACAACACCATTGATGTTCCTAGATCTTTATCTGCGTCACACAATGTTAAGACACAGATTGATGGATATAACTGGAGAAAATATGGTCAGAAACAAGTGAAAAGTCCTCAAGGCTCAAGAAGCTACTACAAATGCACATACAGTGATTGTGATGCTAAGAAGATGGAATCATGTGATGAATACAATTCTGTTACAAAGTTAGTTTACAAAGGCCAACACAAACATGATCCACCTACGAAAATAGTCTCTAATGGAAGCAAGATTTTATCATCTCCAAAAAGAAAATCAATCTCAACACCTGGATTGAAATTAAGCAATTCACAACAAAACCAGAGGCAAGTTAACTACTAAACTCATGCTATTTATCTTTTCCCTCATTATATATGGTATTAATATTGATTACATATAAACAGAGTGAAGAAAAGCAAAAGCAATGGAGAGAGTCATGATTGTATTCTGAAAAATCCAAAAAAACCAAAGTTTATTGTTCATGCAGCCGATGATGTTGAAATATCAGCTGATGGTTACAGATGGAGGAAGTATGGACAGAAGATGGTGAAAGGAAATCCTCATCCCAGGTCTATTTAGTGCTGAATGATTCCAACCTGTAAATAACTGTATCAAACGTGCTGAATGCTGACTGATCGATTTGTTTTGTTTGTGGTTAGGAACTATTACAAGTGTACATGTGCGGGATGTGGGGTGACAAAACATATTGAAAAGGCGAATGATGGAACATCGAATATAGTAATTACATATAAAGGAGTTCATGATCATGATAAGCCTGTGCCAAAGAAAAGACGTGGTCATCCTCATGCTCATGCTCATGGTGTTGTTACTTTTTCACCTTCTTCTAACATGTTATCAACACAAGTTTCTGGGGCTGAATCGGTTAAGAGGATTGAATCTACTCCAACACTTGTGAGTGTTGGTTTTGAAATCAAGTAACCATTTTGGTTCTTTAAGGTTTAGGTTATATATAAATATGTTGTTGTGTAGTAGTCTTAGGTATTGGATGGAAGGAATGAATTTAGCAATTCTATTAACAATTATAAAAACGATGATGATCTATATAATCCACTGATTCAATATTAGGTGCTTGGATTGGATTTTAAAGGCGTTTAAAGTTTAAACAACAACAAAAAGAATGGAAATTATTCTGAATCTATGTATTAGATGTGTGTAATGGATGGATAATATAAGAGTTTTTGTTGGATGTTGTGCAATTTCTGTTGAACCAAAGTCATACATAGATAGACATGGAAAATAATATAATTCGGTAATATATTAATATGGATGTAATTATTTATAATTTTGTTAAATAGAAACTTGACAATCAAATTGATGAAAATGTAGATAATGACAAAGCAATAAAAACTAGGGATAATGACTTATATTTTTCGATTTGTACACATTTGGTCATGAGTTTTTTTTCGTCTACATTTACCCATTCAATTTGTTAAACTGTACACATTCAATTTGATATCGTATGAAGAAGTTACAACGTTCAGAACACAAGACCTAAGTCAAACCACAAGATCTACGCAACCAAGCAGTCGAGGTCGCGATGGACATAAGTATCAAAAATCTCAAACACCTCATCAATGATTGTCTCACGTAAGTTGTCGTGAGAAAAACCTAAAGAAATCATTCATAAGTACTGAATGAGTACAAAAACAAAAATGACTTATTTTGAAACAAAAAATATGAAGGACTAAATGTGTACAAAAATATTAAGGACTAAATGTGTACAAAATGAGAAATATATTACCCTATTAAGTTATTTTTCCCGACTAACCTGTAGTAACCAGTCATAAGGACTGAATGTGTACAGTTTAACAAGTTAAAAGGGTAAATGTGGACGAAAAAAAACTTAGTGACCAAATGTGTACAAATCGAAAAATATATTAACCTTTTTAGTCATTATCCCTAAAAACTATAATGAAAAACAAATTTATTTTCTTTTAACCAAAAAATGTTTATTTCTAGTTGTATACTTTTATCAATTACTTGTATCATTTATTTTTCCATTAATTTATACGTCTATGTTTTCAAACATGTGTCAAATTTATATTATTGTATATCTATTAATTTGGCTTACAAATGTAGAAATTAGTTAAAAAATAATGATATAAAAATTAAACAAATTTTAATATAGAAATACATTGTATTTCTATTAATATATAATAAAAAAGCATTAGATGTACCCCACTACACCATGAGGTAGGGTGAGGTGGCATTGGGAGAATTGGTGGAACACCAAGCCATCTGGTGTGATAACGACGGCTAACTCCACCGCAAGAACAAAAACCACTACAACTCTTCTCTTCTTTCCATTGCTTTGACGCTTAGGCTGGAGGGAGTGGGACTCGCCAGCAGCTCGCTATGAATGCCAAACCCACTCCCAACAAAAATGTTAGACTGCTCGTTAAAATTGGTGTGCCAACCCACTAGCTGAGATGAAAGAGAAAATAGAGATGAAAAAGAAAATAGAGGAGAAATGGGCTCTAATTGGTTGCTTATTTTTTCTTTTTTCTTTTTCCAAAATGAAATAACATAATATTTAGTTGCTACCACTTTCTATAAATTTACAACTTCATGCTATCAATATCATCATCTTATCCTACGTGGCTTAAAAAATCCTATGTGGAAGCACTCCCTATAGTCTTATAGATTACAATATCACATTGCTTCATATTTATTAAAAGATATATTAAAGTGTAGGAAAATAAGGAATGATCATTTCCTACGTCCAAGTGATGTCGGGTGGATTAATGGACCGAGTTTGATACCACATGGGTTTAAAATGACTTCAAATCTTTGAACCTATTAAATTTATCTCTTACAATTATGCCCATATATATATATATATATATATATATATATATATATATATATATATATATATATATATATATATGAAGTTTTCCCTGAAAGTCTCATTACCTACTCATAATTCAATATACATACAGTTGATCAAATTATTTACAGAGAAATTTTTAATTTTACCATTCACACCTATCACCTATGCTTTATGCGAACTTGAACCTTTAACTTTTAACTTTTAAGGCTTTTCAAACAAACTAATATATTCTAACATTTGCGTTGTTAAACGATTTTCGTCAAAAAGATTTGTCTATACAAATAAAAATGTTTTAATATTTTGGAGCAAATTACATAAGAGGCATATATTTTGATTTTTTTTTTTTTTTTTTTTTTTTGACATTTAACCGCTATGTCAACCACTTTGACTTGCTATACCAGGTTAAACTTTAAAGTGTTACAATAAAAAAAAACTGCCAAAATTTAATGGCGGACTAGTGTCAAAAATTTCACTAAAGCAACTAAATTTGACAAAATTTTCTATTGTGAACACTTTAACACGTTATGAGATGTCCAAGTGTTTGACATAGAAAAGGAAATTTACACATAGGCGGCTTTCATAACCGAAACCGAAACATATTGGTTAAACCACAAAAATGACCAAAATATAGTAGCTTTTAAGTATTTTGCCCAATAATTTACAAGTTCATAAGAGAATGATAGCAACAAACCAAAAACACATCCAAAATGCACTAATTGACAACACCACCATATCAAGCATTTGCATTCGTCATTGGATGAACAAAATGCAGTCAAGCCTAGAATTTTTTTTTTTTTTTTAACATTATTGCATGACTAAAAAGTATCCAAGTTTCAACTAACATTGTTTCTTGCTACACTTATGCATATCTCATGAACATCCATTACATTACACATCACAAGATCCGGAAATTGCATCTGCAAGAAGTCAGGAACAAGTATTTCAGAGTTAGCTACTGTGTTTCCTTTTTACACTTAAGCTATATAAGTATATATAGATATAGATATAGATATTTTTTTCTTCAACTTAACACAGAAGGAAGAAACAATATTTAGAGAAGAAAGTTACATACCCAAGCAAGCCACGACCTCGCCATGTTCTAGGAGTAACAGTCAAGTTAATTGAAGTCCCGTGCCTCATAACTATCATAGAAACAGGATGATTTTGATTCATCTGTGCTTCAGAAGCAAGCTTTGGTAGCAAATTATCACCATATTCAACATTCCCAAATTTAACAATTTGATCTCCAAGTTGTAACCCATCTTCTGCTGCTGGAGATTCCTCACTGATCTCATCCACCATTGCAAAAGGTCTGCTCACATCCACATCCACATCCATGACACTGATCGAGCCTCCAGACATATCATGCACAACTTGGCTATTGGAACCAGAGTCCATTGCAGATGAGGATTTAGGAGTCACGCGTGCTGAATGCAGAAGCTCTATTTTGTGGCCTATTTTGTCAGTTGTATCCTTGTGATCATTTCGAAGCTCTGTAACATATTAATAGGATTGAGATTAATGTCTCAATATGATGAGAATGATACTGAACAAAGTCACAGACCTGCAAGTTTATGTCGATCTGCTCGCACTACTGGAATGTCGAGGTCAGATCTTGGAAACCCCTGCAGAAAGTAAGAAATTCAAGTGAACTCCAATGGCAAATGCTCGTGATATCGATTTTATATTCAGAGAGCAATTTCTTCCTCTTCAAGTAAAGTTTGAACATATACGAATTCAATAGGATTACAGTGATTATAACTAATCAAAGAAATATGAGAAGTAATTGCCTCAGAGTCGACGAGATTGCCGGAAAGTCCGGGACCGCCGGGCTGACAAAGACGCTCGATGATAACGTTCATCTCCGCTTCCAAACCGCTCCTTTTCTCCATCAGTTTCTTGATCTCCGACTTTAAATCCGTTGCCACCATTTTTACTGTGAGCTCCTCCGATTGAAAATTTTCTTCTGTGTGGCGTTAGGGTTCGGGCTTTTGGGAGCTCGTAAATCGTAATAAGCAATAACTTGATGAACGGTAGTTAAGTTACACCTCGAGTCCTTGTACTATTGATATTATAAACTTTCGACCTTAAAGTTTTTTTTTTTTTTTTTTCTAATAATAATAATAATAATAATAATAATAATAATAATAAACGACCATCTTTAACCCATTTTAATAAGTCAAAGTGATTGCCGTTTAATTAAAAGGATCTCTTAATTAAATGAATTGGGTATGATTGAAAATTTTCGACAAGGTTTCAACTAATTAAACTAACACATTTAAATTTAATAAATTTTTATATTTTATACTTATTTACTATGAGTATTTAATTATTTAATATTTATTTTCATCAAATTTCTATGTTTTTACTGGATTTTCACTAAATCGATTCATAATCGATATGCAATTATATTGACCTAATCTAACATCCATAATGAAATTCGGTTAATTTAATTAGACAGATTTAACCAAATTGTTTTCAGATCAAATACAAATCCAAATTGAATAATTGGTTTTGTTGTGCATCTCTATTCTCTAATATCCGAGTAGTTACGCCACGAAACAACAACACATGGAAATGTGAGACATTTTGTAAAAGTGCAAATTTAGGGGGTGGGGTGGGGACAAAATTTGCTTATTTAAAACAACTTATGATTATTTATAAAAATGGTTATTAGTTTACCAAAACGTAGTTTTAGAAAAAATGTTTTGATTAATTTATTCGGTATCAAAACGAAATAAGTTGATAAGTTATTTTTAATGTTTTGCAAACTCTTATTTTATGTGCAATAATGAAACAATTTATCAAAAACTCATTAAAAATCAATAAGTGAGTAGGAAACGACTTATCAAAACTTATTATTTAAGTCAATAAGTGCTCATGCAATTTTTTTTCTCCAAGCACTAAAAACTCATTACTATTAGTGTTAAACCGAAATAAGTCAATAAACATTTCAAATAAGCAATTCCAAACATAAAGTTAGACAAATGTTGTGTTTGACTAATTTATCAATAATTCAGGAGTAGAGTATCTTAAATGAACCCCCATATATGTATGTGGGTGTAGTGTGTGTTGACCTTCACACACACATGTCCCATCATGTTACCCCCATATATGTGTGTGGGTGTAGTGTGTGTTGACCTTCACACACACATGTCCCATCATGTTGAGTTTTTTAGTAACAACCATAATTTAATTCAAATAGTTAATAAAAAGCTAACACCCAAAACAATCAAATTATCCTCAATTGAACGAGAG